CACACACACACACACACACACACACACACGTATACTAACACACATTCACACACACACACACACACACTCACACAAATACAAACACTCACACACACACACACTCTCACATATACTAACTCACTCATTAACACACAAACACACACACACACACACACAGACACACTCACAAACGTATACTACTAAGACACATTCACACATACACACATACGCACACACATACACGCACACACACACACACACACACACACACTCACACGTACACACATTCAAACAAAAACGATTACACATGCACACACACATACACATAGACTATCTCTTTTTTTCTAACACACCCCCACCATACGTGCGCGCACACATACCCACCCACCCACACACACAAACACACATACAAACACACACACAAACACAAACTCACACAAACTCACACAGACAAACACAAACACACAATAAGACCCAAACGCACACACACACTAACACACACACACACATACATACACATTCACACGCATACATACACACACAGACACACACAAACACACACAAACACACACAAACACACATATACACGTATACTAATAACACAAATTCACACACACATGCACACACAAGCACACACACATACACACACACATTCACTCACACATATACATACTCTCACACAGACAGGCATATACACGCATACTACTAACACACATTCACACACATATTCAAACACATTCACACACCCAAACACACACACACACACACACACACACACACACACACACACACACACACACATATACACACAAAAACACACAGGCATCCTTCCACAAACACCACCCACACACAAAAGCAGCCTGACCGTAAGCGGGGGTGGTCACTTCCCCAGTCACCGGTCGTTGACCCCCGCATCTACCCTGGACGCCACTGACATAGAGATGTTGGCCCCTAAGGCTGCTCCAATGTCCAGCTACTGCTCTAGTCCAGGACACAATGATTATAGCCTCGACTGACGTCACCGGCGTTATTTCACAAGTGCCTAAGTCAATTATTTTCAAAGTTTGGGAGAAAAAAAAAGAAAGCTCAAATCAGAACAATGACTTTGACCCTCGTTATTTTCACTCAAAACCTATGAAGGAAATAATGAAACCGAGAGCTATGAATCTTGACGTACATTTTTAGTTGTTTAAAGTAAAAATTTGAAACATTTCCCGAAAAAGAAACGTGACAAACGCAATTTTCGAAGCTTGCTCTAAACTAGTACCACCGTACCTCGAGAGGTAGCTTTTTTTCACACAACGTGATTTTTTTTCTCTTCAAAAAAACTTACAAAAGCGTCACCCCCCTCC